CGATTGGGACCTGCTCGAACAGCTTGGAGGAGCTGCAATCAGATGCTGCGGGGGTTCCAGGCTATGGGCCCCTCCCACAGAGACCACGCCAAACCTTTCCGAAGATCCCTGCGTATCAAAGCTCGCTCAAAGAAACAGGCCCCCTCGAAGACTAACATCTTGCCTTTTCTCCGGGCTCTGAGGCTAGCAGGCAACTTTATTCCGAGTTCAGGGAGAATCCTAAAAGTAAACCCCACCACAATTCAACCTGGACTCACATCTTCGCACACCGATGAGCCAGGAAGTCGAAAGCACAACCGTACATAGGCGGACAGAAACAGCAAAACACTACGGTCACTGAAGCGGGGATCACAGGGATTCTATAGATGCCCACATCACCGAAGCCACAAGATGTTGTGAAGAACCACTCCCCGCAACCTTCCGCATTCCGAAGGATCCCTGAAGGGAGGCCAAGGAGGTGTTTTTCACACATCGGTCAGCATTGGTGGTTACCGGGAAGGTTCGAATCGAAACAGGCTCCTGACCTTGGCCCAAGCCGCGCTGAGGCGCTTAGTGTCTGTTGCCACAGTTGACGCGTGAACATTTTACAAATGAGAGCAGGATAAAGCAGGGAACTGGTGCTACCAAACGCTTCTGCGAAGAAGCATTCGGAAAAAAGGACAGTAATTTAATTTAGATGCCTGCTATTGGGGTGGGCGGTCGAGGCTTGGGGGTGCCTAAAGCATGGCTCGAAGACGTCTAGATTTAAAAACACACTTGGATTGCTGAATGGTCCATGCCGGGCACACGGTACTAGTAGAAACGTGCAAAACTTCAACTTGTCCAAGCAAGACGAGAATTATCGAGCATTACTCACAATCACTGCGCGCATGAACAAAATCATGGATATGAGCTTGTGACCAATCACGGAGCGGTCTTTTGCACCCGCAACGCCTAAGCCAGCTGATGCCAGCTGGCTGTCCAGCTAGCTGTCCAGCCAGCTGAAGGCTAGCTGAAGGCTGGCAGAAGGCTAGGGCGAGCTGGCTAGCTGCAAGCTTCATGGCTGAGCATTTGGAGCGCCCTTTCTCGGGCCTTAAGGACTGCTCTGTCGGTCTCAGGCCAAGGACTTTGCCGATTGAGAGCACCTTGGCAACGACCAAAACTTCAAAACTCCTTCACCCGACGAAGTTCACCCAATTCTTTTGAAATTCGTCACATTTTGAGTCGAACCGTTTTATGTGCAAGCCCTCATGCCAACCTTGTCATTGCTTTTACATGTTTATCGTAAAGCATGTTTTTCACACATTGCCTTCGCCTTCTCGCTTGATTCTGTGCCAATGCACAGTGCAACACCTCTTGCCTTTACCGAAGGGTGTGGCAAACAGGCAGACATACACTCCAACATGGGGGAGGTTCGTATCATCTCCCACGCCTCGTCATGATTGGTATCACCAGAGCAAGAAACAGTAAGAAACCGACCAAGAGCAAGGGCCCTGCCATCGCCAGTCATTCGACCCAATACAGATGTGGCAGCTTCACGGACTTGTGAGTTCGCACGCTGCAGCAGCTCAGCCATTTGGTGGCAAATCTCCTGCTGGGGCGGATCCGCATCAGGCTTCTGATCTCTTGCAAGATTTCTGTTCACAAGCTATTCAGGAAGGTGTTGCATGTGGCACTCATGTGGCTCGAGAGACACAAACAGAAAGATGATTCTGTGCAAGTGTGCAAGTGTTCAAGTGACAAGTGCTCATGAGTGGGACCCAGACGCCACAACTTCTGCAGGCGCCAAAATGCCAGGCGCACTGGGCATGCAATTGGGATGCCCATGGATGCCTGGATGGGATGCCAGGAAGGCTAGGAAATACCAGGAACGGGAGCGGACGTTGGGGACCCGGGTCGGCTAAAATGGAAATTGAGAAGAACCTGTTTGGCAGGGCAGCACCCGGACCGACCCTCCTGGCCGCAAGGTTTTGAAACTCCTTAAGCAGCCTTACGTTGACTTGCTCTTGAGCCTGTGACAGAGCATGTTGGCAATACTGTGTCGTTTGCAACGGGGACGCAATCTTGTCCCAGAGCCGGGACTGAGGAAGTGCTGAGCTGCTGAACTCAGTCCTGTCACCCGACCTACGCTTGCAAGGGCTGCAAGTAATTTTTCAGTCGTTCTTGCGGGGTTTCTTGAAAGGATGTGATTCTCTTGACGCCTACCTCTCATCCAGTCAGGTCAAGACGTGATGGACAATGCACACTCAAACAATCACGTACGCACCGAAGGACTTCCAGTCCTCTTCGTGACTGCTAGCTGGCAGATTGGACAGGAGCTCGATTGCAGTCACGACAACGGTGGAAGCTTCGTCCTGCTGCCAGCTCTGGATTCCAAGCAGGGTCCACGTCACAGGTTTGGGCAAGGAGCTCTCATGAACAAACTGGCTACAATTGAACATCTGTCGTGACACTGTGGGTCAAGCGTTCTACAGCACTAAGTCTACGATTCAACACTATTCTACCGGGCACATCGGGCACGTCGGGCACATGCACGGCGCCACACTGCGCCCACCACATCCCACCGTGCAGGAACTTTTTTCACCATGCCCGGCCCTCTTCCCAATGGAAGCCTGTCACAGGCGAGCCTTGCGGAGGGGCTCTTCAAAAACTATAAGCAAAAAATTGCAGGGCGGTCGCCCGTGGGGGTGCATATACGCCCGACGCCTGAAGACACGTTTTGAGGACACGTGCTTGGAATGCACCGACCCCCTGACGCCACGCACTGATGCCACTTCCCGTGACGACCTGTCTTCGTTCTGCGCCTGATGCCACGTTCTGACGCCGCATCATTGACGACACATGGAGTCCTGACGCCACGTCAGCTTTTGACGCCACTACGCCACCTCCGGGGAGGACAAGCGCAGCTTTTCGCACGATTTCTCGTTTATGTTTGCCTCCTTCGGGGCCTGTGACGCCATTTTGACGCCATGTTGGGCGATGCCACGCCAGGTCCGATGGCGCCACGTGTAATTTACTCGCGACGCCATGTGAGCTAGTGACGCTCACGTGTTGACGCCACGTAATTCGACACCCGCCACGTGAGCAAGTAACGCCACATTTTGACACCACGTCTGGCAACGCCACGTGGCTGATTGACCACGTGAGCTACTTTCGCCACGTTTTGACGCCACGATCGGCGATGTTCTTGTCTTCACGACGCCACGCTTCGACGCCGATGCCACGTGGCTTCATGACGACTCGTGGTCTATTGACGGCAGGTTTTGACGCGACATGTGTCCGGTGTGGAGCTGAGGACTTCAACAGCACCTCAAGGCTTGGACCTAAGCTGCAGAAGCTGGCGCGAAAAGCCTTCATCGGGAAATTGGGCTTGGTTCAAAGGTTGGGGATGGTTGGGGGTGAGAGCAGAGGGGCCTTATGAGATAAGGGTTTACGGTAGAGGAAGCTTTGCTGTCGCACAAAGGAATATCCCAACACGCCAGCACCATCATGCACCGGCGCAACTTTAAGAATATTGATCTAAGCTGAGGCCTTTCTGGCGTGCGCACAGTTTCAGAAGCCTGTTCACGCGCGAACTCTAGGACTCTAAGGCAGGCGCGAACCCAAAGGCGGGAAGGTAAGGTGGCAAGGAGGGTTCTTTGGGTTTGTAGATGTTCAGGTTTGAAGGTTAGGACGAGTGTGGTTCCGAAACAGGATGGAGAATCGGAGTCCCCAAGGAATCTCTTGGTGCATATGCAGGCATGTGCTCACGGCTTGGTCCCCCTTGGCGTGTCTTTGCCAGAACTGTCTGCGGGAAGTGTCTTCGCGACGCCACGTGTCTTCATGACCTCACGTGTCTTCGCGGGAGCTGTCTTCGCACGTGTCTTTGCGGGAGCTGTCTGCGGGAAGTGTCTTCGTTTGCTCATGCGTCTTCGTGACGCCACGTGTCTTCGCTTGCCCACGTGTCTTCGCGAAGCTGGGGGTCTTCGCCGGGCCTGTCTTCGGGAAGTGTCTTCGCGACGCCACGTGTCTTCATTCTCTAGGAGGCGCCTTCCCCACCTGTTTGCAATGTCTTGGCTCTAGTGTTCGAGTGAAGTGTCTTCTGACGCCCATATGCGTGGTTGTCAAAATCACGACTCCTTTTGGGGTACTTAAAATATCGGTGCCGTATTCTAATCGGGATCCAGAAAGTAAGGGACCATCATTTTGACAACCACCCATATGTCTTCGCGACGCCACGTGTCTTTGATGATTCGTGCCACTTGAATTCCGAAGCTTGTGTAACCAATGCGACGCAGCTACAAAAGGAATCAGCAAAGCATTACATATCCGATGGGTCCTTCGTGCACACCAAAAGCAAGTCGATCAAACGATCTTGCATCGGCTCCAACGCTGCCAGGCTCTGCATAGCTTCCAGTCGAACTGACTCGTCTGTGTCCTTCCAAGCCCCTGTTCATCAACTCTTTGTGGCTCCACCGTGGGACATCTGCGTGTGATCACAGCTCACAACACTGCAAACTTCCTGTCCTGCAGAAGACTCCCGAGAACCTCTGTAGCTTCCTCTGATGGAGAAGCGCAGCGCCTGTTCAGCCACAGCTACTTGTCGAGCTGGTGAAAGCTGCTGAGTAGACCCAGCAAAACAATACAAAACAATGATGCCTGAGCCGAGCGCCCTGGTGACCCTGACAGTTTCCCTGACTTTCCTCAGCCCTTGATTTGAGGTGCGAGTAGGACTACAACATGCTCGAAGCCGTTCTGGTCTCTACGTGTCGCCGTGGCGACCGTCACTGGACGTGGCGAATGCAACGAGTATGCCATTGTTCAACCATGCCCTTGCTGTCCCTCTGAAGGCTTTCCGTGGGTTTACAATCAAGGCCTGCACAAGCCTTCAAGCTCAAGCTCCACTGTGAAGTTGCTTGCTTCCACGGAGGCAAATCTAATCGTCCTTCCGTCGAAAGTAGCATTCGTACCGTCTGCGCAACATTGCAGGACCCACACGGACGCATGATGCTGTATGTATGATGTTTGGCAACGTGTATGTGTCATGGAACAGTGTCATCTGGCGCGGATGGCCTCAAAGCACGAAGAGCTGCTGATTTGATGGCCACATCTGCTTCGCGGCAAAGATTCAGAAGACAAGCAGTAACTTCTGGCCGGGGATTCTCTATCACCTTGGGCATCATCTCGATTGCTGCGCACCGCGACCATCCGTAAATGTCGCCTTGAATCAGCTGCATGAGCACGCCAAGTGCCACGTCATCACCAGGCCGGCAAAGCTTACCAAAGGTGACTTTGCAAGCCTCTCTTACAGAACTGTTGTGATTTTGAAAGCCGTGTGCAAGATTTGCCAACACTGCTTCGGAAGGCGAACCCTGCTCTTTGGCCAAGGCTAAAAGGTTATGGACATAATCTTTTCCTCCAGTAGCAGCTGTCTTGGTCGCCAATGCCACGAGCACGCCCGTGCGAGCCTCTTCAATCTTGTCAGGACATTGCTCAGCAACCCTTTTCAGAGCACGCAGTGCGGCCACTATTGGAGGAGTCCCGTCTTTCTCGAGAACACGTTTGGCATGAAGGAGGTAAGTGGAAAGTGTGTCAATGACGGACTGGTCGGATGCCCGAGCATGTAAGGCTAGCGCTTTGAGAGTGTCGAGACGGTCAATGCGCCGATTCCGGTGCATCTCCTGGCAAAGAGCCCCGACAGCCTCCGCATAGGACGATGGCGAGATTTGCAGCAGAGCACTGGCGACCACGACGAGATGATCGCCAGTGACGTTCTTCAACACTTCCTGAGCCCAAATGGGGATTGCATTGAAACCCTCCTTTTTGCTATGTCCATCTCACTGCTACTCTTGATCCCCTGAACCCTAAACTTTTTTGGGAGTGCGACAACCCATCCGTTGAGTGATGAAGCTTCACGGATGTGACCGTCTTTGTCGTTGCTTCTTCTTCCTTGTCATATTACAGGTCAGACACGTCAGGCACAGTGTCCGTGACAAACGGGCGTGTCCGCTGCTACACCAAGAGGCACAGAGTTTTTGCACAACCCGAAGTGCTAGCAGCGCTAGACTGCGAAAGCTCATCGGCATGACGGCCAATGACGGCTTTCATTTTTTTAAGTCTAGCAGTCTAGCAAACACAGAAATAACAGTAGCTTGAAAGCTGGAAGATGCTTGGAGGCATCTTTTGAACACCGCCAACATGTGACATAAAGGTGCCATTGGATCAGCTGGTCAAAAGCCTCCTGATTCAGTGCAAAAGCGGGAAAGCGGACACTGCGATCACTCAACATCTAGAGACAGAGCAGAGTGTCGAGAGTCCTCCCTGCATTGAAGGAGTAAACTGAGTAAAACATGGTTTGGCCACAACAGCGGCATACGCCGACAACACCCTTTCAACCTCGGCACCACCAACTCAAGGGACCTTCTTGGTAGGGTTTAACTGAGTTTAACGAGGAGGTGGAAAGCTATTTTGAATAGCTTTGTTCAGCTCTGCTCAGAACTCAGAACTACACTTCGTGTGTCAACGCTAAGGCCAATGAAGCCAAGCCCAGGCACGCGAAGAGCACTAGTGATGTTCTCCTCCTCCTGATGGGCGTTGATGGGCTCTTTATTAGGCTCTGGAGGTGAACCGAATATCCACCGGCCGGGACACAACCGATGCGCATGGGGCCTTACTCTTACAGGTACCTATGTTCGAAGCTTTCTTGGACCCCAAGAGGTCGTTGGTGTGCTTAAGTGTGCTCATGTCATGCATCGCGCTACTCCAGCGCGCATAGGTTCGCAAAGGTCTTTACCCTTGCAGTAAAAGTGTAGGACCTGAATCTGTTTGTAAGCCCTCACAAAACTCATCAGGCTCCTTGGTTTGACGTACTGGTGCTTTTACTGCATCGATCTGAACCGTGACTGAAGAAGGGATGACAAGCATGTTGAAGAAAGCCTCACACCACCTGCACGAGAATCTGGTTGTCGAGCGAGAGTTCCAGTATCTGTGCCTTCACTACCTCTTCTATCACTCTGAACTGCGATTTTGACACCACTTCCCGCCAACACTCCTCGATTTCTGAAAATAGAAAAACTGCACGACTCCATACTTCCAGAACTCAACACTCAAAGACTTTTGGGGAAAAACATTAAGGGAAACGTGTACGTATGTATTAAATCTGAGCAATGCCTATAAGGGGACCCCCCCCCCCCCCCCCCCCGCTTCCAGCCATGCTGTCAAGATCAAGGTGGACATGCCTGACGTGCTGTCGCTGCAGCTGCTGCGGCGGCGCGCGACTGCATCCAGACTGGGCGATCAGGCTGCAATCTCTCCAAGAGAAGGCTGGTTGCCTTGGGTTTGGTTAAATGAATTCTCCTCTGTGCATGTGTTGTTGGCTTAGGATGTGAGAAATCTGGTCAGAATCCAGTGAATGCAGTCAAAGACTCCGTCTGATACTCTCTCTTGCTCACAATCGCCAATGCGTCGAAGACAAAGGCTTGTGATGAAGGAGGATCAGAGGAAGGAGCTCGGAATATTGAATCAACGACACCTGGCACTGAAGCAACAATGGCAACAATCCTGCAAATCCCCGACGCGCTTGCGACTGCCATGCTGTCAGGGTGCATCCAACCAATTCGCCTGAATCCTTAGACCACAGAAGAAAGGTTTGCTTCCACCCCACTGGCGGAGGGCAACCAGGTTGCTCTCCTTCTCAATTCTGACCCGCATGTGCAAAAATGGCTGTCAAGCCACAGCAAGCGCTTCCATTGCTTTGAAGTGCTGCATTGCGAATTGGCGGGTCTCATCGCTCCCAGAATTCAGTGCTTTTGTGATCCTCTCCTGTAGTCGAAGCTGTGAACACATGAGGGCTGGCACTGACAGATGTGGGTTCGTGGTGCCTACACACAAACTTCTGACCAAATCTGCCAGAGCTATCCAAAATATCCAAAGCTCCAACACGCGGAAATCTCCAGGCGCAAGGTGGGCCAGGGCTGCGATGGCCTGAAGGGTGTCATGGGGTAGGGTCCGGTTTGCATGTCACCGCAGTCACCACCATCACGTTTTATTTTGTCATGGAACCCTCACTTATGCCACTGCTTTAGAACACGAAGCTGTTTGTAAGGGAGCGGATCGCAATGGCAATGGACTGGGAAGGAGGAGGCAGGGCAGGGCTTACACAACCTTGCACAACGGAACTCCTCCTTGGTGAGCATCTGCTGTGGCGGGGTTGGCAGGGCGTCCAACAAGAAGGCTGCAGCCTCCGGATCTGAGTCCCATGCATTTTGAACCGATTGCAATGCTGCCTCTCGGACAGGACCACTGGGAGCCAACAGCTTCTCCGCAAGTTCTTGTAAGGCTCGCTGTGGACATTTGCTTCCCATCCTTCCAACATCTTCCAAACAGACCCAGGAACTGTCTTGATCATGGTCTTGCAATGTCTTGCGCTAAGAAAGAACTAGACACCGATTATCCCGAAAGCAATCAGTGCGAAGATATCAACTGACACGTAGAGTTGGTTGTGTTGTCAGTGCGGTGATGGTGGTGTGGCGTAGTAGGATAGGAAGCAGGTGTCGCGTCGACAGCGAAAAGGACGCGAAACGCAAAGAAGATGGAATAGAATAGGCAGTGTAGAGAGGCCGTGTATAGCTGAGGCGATGGTAGCGCGATGACGGCAATGGGGTGATACCACGTACACATGCCAGCATGCAAAAGTCCCACATGGCCTGAGGCGCCTGCTGCCATGTTGTGAACAGATCAAAGCATAGCTCTGCATGAGCGCAGGACAAGATGTCATCCGCAATGATTGCGCGCCCACACGAGAGCCGTCGCGCTATTTGCTGCGCCGTTTTCGAAGCTCCAGAGTTCCGCGCCCACGGTGTTTGCGAGGTTTTCGAAGCCCCGGAGTTCCGCGCCCATGGTATTTGCGAGGTTTTCGAAGCCCCAGAGTTCCGCGCCCACAGTATTTGCGACGTTTTCGAAGCCCCATGAGTTCCGCGCCCACGGTATTTGCGACGTTGTCGAAGCCCCAGAGTTCCGCGCCCACGGTATTTGCGAGGTTTTCGAAGCTCCAGAGTTCCGCGCCCACGGTGTTTGTGAGGTTTTCGAAGCCCCAGAGTTCCGCGCCCGCGGTATTTGCGAGGATTTCGAAGCTCCAGAGTTCCGCGCCCACGGTATTTGTGAGGTTTTCGAAGCCCCAGAGTTCCGCGCCCACGGTATTTGCGACGTTTTCGAAGCCCCAGAGTTCCGCGCCCACGGTGTTTGCGAGGTTTTCGAAGCCCCGGAGTTCCGCGCCCACGGTATTTGCGAGGTTTTCGAAGCCCCAGAGTTCCGCGCCCACGGTATTTGCGACGTTTTCGAAGCCCCATGAGTTCCGCGCCCACGGATTTTGGACGTTGTCGAAGCCCCAGAGTTCCGCGCCCACGGTATTTGCGAGGTTTTCGAAGCTCCAGAGTTCCGCGCCCACGGTGTTTGTGAGGTTTTCGAAGCCCCGGAGTTCCGCGCCCGCGGTATTTGCGAGGTTTTCGAAGCCCCAGAGTTCCGCGCCCACGGTATTTGCGACGTTTTCGAAGCCCCATGAGTTCCGCGCCCACGGATTTTGGACGTTGTCGAAGCCCCAGAGTTCCGCGCCCACGGTATTTGCTAGGTTTTCGAAGCTCCAGAGTTCCGCGCCCACGGTGTTTGTGAGGTTTTCGAAGCCCCAGAGTTTCGCGCCCGCGCCCACGGTGTTTGCGAGGTTTTCGAAGCCCCGGAGTTCCGCGCCCACGGTATTTGCTAGGTTTTCGAAGCCTCAGAGTTCCGCGCCCACGGTATTTGCGACGTTTTCGAAGCCCTAGAGCGACTTTCCAGCTACGGCAGCTCCGGGCGTCCGCGGCGTACTACGTTTGTACTACAAAAAGTCGACTTTCCAGCTACGGCAGCTCCGGGCGTCCGCGGCGTACTACATTTGTACTACAAAAAGTCGACTTTCCAGCCACGGCAGCTCCGGGCGTCCGCGGCGTACTACGTTTGTACTGCAAAAAGTCGACTTTCCAGCCACGGCAGCTCCGGGCGTCCGCGGCGTACTACGTTTGTACTACAAAAGTCGACTTTCCAGGAGAGGAAGAAGAAAAGAAGAGCAGAGGAAGAGGAGAGGAAGAGGAGAGGAAGAGGAGAGGAAGAGGAGAGGAAGAGGAGAGGAAGAGGAGAGGAAGAGCAGAGGAAGAGCAGAGGAAGAGGAGAGGAAGAGGAGAGGAGAGGAAGAGGAGAGGAAGAGGAGAGGAAGAGGAGAGGAAGAGGAGAGGAAGAGGAAAAGAAGAGGAGAGGAAGAGGAGAGGAAGAGGAAAAGAATAGGAAAAGAAGAGCAGAGGAAGAGGAGAGGAAGAGGAGAGGAAGAAGAGAGGAAGAGGAGAGGAAGAGGAGAGGAAGAGGAGAGGAAGAGGAAAAGAAGAGGAGAGGAAGAGGAGAGGAAGAGGAGAGGAAGAGGAGAGGAATAGGAGAGGAAGAGGAGAGGAAGAGGAGAGGAAGAGGAGAGGAAGAGGAGAGGAAGAAGAAAGGAAGAGGAAAAGAAGAGGAGAGGAAGAGCAGAGGAAGAGCAGAGGAAGAGGAGAGGAAGAGGAGAGGAGAGGAAGAGGAGAGGAAGAGGAGAGGAAGAGGAGAGGAAGAGGAAAAGAAGAGGAGAGGAAGAGGAGAGGAAGAGGAAAAGAAGAGGAAAAGAAGAGCAGAGGAAGAGGAGAGGAAGAGGAGAAGAAGAGGAGAGGAAGAGGAGAGGAAGAGGAGAGGAAGAGGAGAGGAAGAGGAGAGGAAGAGGAAAAGAAGAGGAAAAGAAGAGCAGAGGAAGAGGAGAGGAAGAGGAGAAGAAGAGGAGAGGAAGAGGAGAGGAAGAGGAGAGGAAGAGGAGAGGAAGAGGAGAGGAAGAGGAGAGGAAGAGGAGAGGAAGAGGAGAGGAAGAGGAGAGGAAGGGGAGAGGAAGAAGAGAGGAAGAGGAAAAGAAGAGGAGAGGAAGAGGAGAGGAAGAGGAAAAGAAGAGCAGAGGAAGAGGAGAGGAAGAGGAGAGGAAGAGGAGAGGAAGAGGTGAGGAAGGCTCCGACACGCACGATCCCCGCAGAGGGTGCACGACCACGCTTCAAAATGCGCAAAAACGCACAGCGGCAGCGCTCCGACACGCACGATCCCCGCAGAGGGTGTGCGAAGCAAGTTGTAAAATGTGCGAAAACGCACAGCGGGAGCGCTCCGACACGCACGATCCCCGCAGAGGGTGTACGAAGCAAGTTGTACAATGCGCAAAAACGCACAGCGGGAGCGCTCCGACACGCACGATCCCCGCAGAGGGTGCGCAGGCACAAATCCACATGCGCAAAAACGCACAGCGGGAGCGCTCCGACACGCACGATCCCCGCAGAGGGTGCGCGGGGACAAATCCACATGCGCAAAAACGCACAGCGGGAGCGCCCCGACACGCACGATCCCCGCAGAGGGTGCGCGGCGACAAATCCACATGCGCAAAAACGCACAGCGGGAGCGCTCCGACACGCACGATCCCCGCAGAGGGTGCGCGGCGACAAATCCACATGCGCAAAAACGCACAGCGGGAGCGCCCCGACACGCACGATCCCCGCAGAGGGTGCGCGGCGACAAATCCACATGCGCAAAAACGCACAGCGGGAGTGCCCTGACACGCACGATCCCCGCAGAGGGGTGCATCGCGCTAGCCGCGGCGAAACCCACCCCAGCCTAAGAAATAAGAGAGAATTTAATAGAGGAGGTGATTTGGAATGTGGTGATGGTAGTGGTGATTGGAGTGTGGTGATGGATGGTAGTGTGGCGGTTGTAGTGTAGCGATGGTAGTGTGACTGTGTGGTAGTGTGGTAGGGCTAATGGAGTGTGGTGATGGTAGTGTGGCGGTTGTAGTGTGGCGATGGTAGTGTGAGTGTGTGCTAGTGTGGTAGGGCTAACGTTTTTTTTCCGAAGAACCCTTCGCTGAAGCTTTCGGGAAAAACGAACATGTTAAAGAGACGCAAAGTATAATTGTTCTGAACTGACCGTGTAGCACTCCCAGTGCTCGAATCGCCGCCAACTCCCTGTCGACTGTCTGCAATGCAGACCACACAGGCTCCAAGTCAGCCACCAAAGACAGCTGAAAATCAGACGCATCCTTGCAAGCAAGCTACTTGACACGACAAAGAACCATGCAAGATGAATGCATGCTCGAAACACCGCGATTTTTCCACACCCAGCCCCCACATCTCCCCACCGTGTCCTTCAACCCATGAAGCCCAAAACCATCCCAAACCTTAATATAAACTTGTAAACTGGCGCATACTCA